ACTACTACTACTACTACTACTATTACTATTACTACTACTATTACTATTATTATTATTATTATTATAGTTTATAACAACAGATCGATTTATGTTAATCATTGAAAATAGGTGGAAATATAGTTGGCACAGCATGTGATAGTCCAATGCTGTCACTTCATCTCATGTTTTGTTTACATTATATAAAATCCTCTCCTATTTTATTGCAGTAGTATAGATATGTTTTGCGCACAAGCACCCGATGTTCATACATGGGATCTCTGAAGAAAGAGAACTTCACAGAGACGTGATGATTTGCACTTTGACTTTAAAAACATGAAGGACTTATTGAGAAAAAAATGCTTTTAAATATTCATGTCAAATGCAGCACGCAACACTCAGGCAGCGTTATTAAAACATATTTAGTAGACTAACTCTAAAACAAAGTTTCTAAGGCCATAAAATCTGGAAATTTGAGACCTCGCATCGTAATCTATAGGTCGAGAGATTCTTGGACATTCTATTACATTTTATTGGGCCGGTTCTTCTCGATACTACCACACCTCTTCAAAGACGTGCGGAATCTGCAACTGAAATTAAACTAATTACTTGGTATTCTAGGCGAAAAAATTGCACGGGTATACCTCTCAGTTCGGTAATGAAGTAAACTAATATTCCAAAGAGTAGTGTTGTGTTTACCCAATCCTGTTTTATAGCTGACTTGACAACTTTATTTACAACTTTATTCACAGCTTTATTGACAACTTTACGCAGCTTTCTCGAGAGTAAAATGTTGTTTTAATACGTTTGTGACTATCAAGGAAAGCGACAAGCAGTCAAAGAAAATTGTATAATTATGTTAAATGTTTTTAAGGAAGTGTTGTGAATTGTTCCACGAACATGTCTATAATTCTGAATAAACCTTTATTCGAAATTTGTTTCAAACATCAATTTAATTTTTCTTTATTTTAATTTTAAATTTATAAGTTCATTGAAAGTTACCCTTTTATTTTTTTTTAAATCAAATAAACATGTTTAATAACAAATTATCCTCTTAATATGGAAAAGGAAAGTTAGGATGAGGGTGGAAATTAACATGCGAGAGATCTCGCACGAGACGGCTAATTATTATTATTATTATTATTATTATTATTATTATTGTTGTTGTTGATGTTATTCTTTTGCATTCTTCCCGTTTTTACGGGGTCAGCGCTAATGGGCGCGGGCTCATTTTTTGTTAATTATCCGCATACACCATTTTTACACAGATTTGGCAATATTTTTACGGTCGAATGCCTTCCCTGACGCCAACCACATGAGATACACAAGCACATTGCACAGAGACAACACACACTATCACGAAACACACACAACCATTCCCGAGGCGGAACTCGAACCCGGGATCCTTCAGTCCGAGATCACTAAGGCACTAATGCCTAACGATCTCGACATTCCTGAAAAATATTGATGTTATTATTGTTATTATTATTATTACTATTATTATTATTATTATTATTATTGCTATTATTTTAATCGTGCACAGTTCACTGGTGCTAAAACAGAAGTCATACAGATATCATCTCTCAAAACATGACTTCCAAATTCTTAATGCATATTATAAATTAAATTGTATATCAATGAACAAAATTAGTAGTTGTCATAGAGACAACATACAGATGCATATTCACGTGTACAATTCAGAAACATTAACAATGATTAGTGTAAAACCTAAAAACTTCCATTAGTTTCCAGAAGCTTCCTGACCATTGAGCACGTTCTGGGTAAAACAGATTTCTGGAGACTGATGGCGAGACTTTTCTTAATTGCAAGTGTTTCTAGCGAGTACTGCAGGGTATTGAGCGAGCAGCGCGCGTCGAGTGAAGACCTACGTCATCACCACGAGCACTGTGTAGCTTATTCTCTAATATTCTATACGCTAATCTGTAAAGCACTCTGTTTCTAGATCACAACGCAACAACAAGGCAAGAACAATCGAGCGGAGACGTCCAGCACTTAACATCATACCGAGGAGTCTGTTCCGGAAGGCACTTAGAGAGAGCAACCGCCGTTTCTGGGAACAGAACAGACAACTACTCGAGGAGGCGCGGCTTCAGCCGCTGCCGTTGTCAGAGGAAGAGATGTCGGACGAAGAGATGGCCGACGCGGGACCCTCAAGGATCAGCGAAGAGGTACCCCGCGGCGCCCAGCGAAATCTCCGACGCTCTCTCGACTCCCCACCCGAACAACCGACCAAAGTCTTCCTAACGGATGACGGTTTCCCACTGGTTACCAATGGCACAAAACCCCAACCCGCACAGGAAAGTAAACCAATAGAAACCACCAACCCGTTTTCCCCCCTCACCCTACCGCAATCGAACCCTGGAACCTCAGACGAACCTGATACCCCAATTGAAACCCAGACTAAACAACAACCACTGCAACAACTGACAAAAACCAACAAAGGACGAATTGGACTATTCCGAATTGACCTGAAGACGATACTTGACCCGACAGAACCAATTAAAGAACTTAAGAACAATTGTAACAACCACCTGACTGCAAAATGCAACCGGACAGAACTTTTAATACAACCACTAACAGTGACGGCTCACGGGAAGATCAGAGACCGACTGGACCAGATCTCCAAAGACCCCAGACTGAAAGGACTATTCTTCACATCTATCTCTTACCACTTCAATAGAGCGACAGACGAACAACGTGACAAATTTGTTATAAAAGGACTACCAACAAAATACGACTTAAACGCCATTAAGAACAACCTGACTGCCTTTAACATAACAGCTCACCACGTAACCGAAATGCAAAGACGGAACCGACGGAACACTGACCCCAATAGGCCTTTACACAGTTGAAACTAACAAAAAAGAAATGACTGAAATTAAAAAGACCCTACGATTCATAGACTATTTTAAGGTGACTATAGACGACTACAGATCGACTGACAGAATACCTCAATGCAGGAACTGTCAAAGACTTTACCATACAAAGGCCTATTATAGGAGACAAGTGACCTGTGTCCTCTGCGCTGGAAATCACCCAACCGACT